GAGGCCTCAATACTTTCCTGAAGTTTGCGGTACTCCTCGCTCTGCAGGCGTACCGTGATGTCGCGCACCAAAGCGTGACACAAACGGGCCAGCTGCAGGCAACACACACCGCTGCGATCGTTCTTGACAGACGACAAAAGGAAAGGATCGCGTACAAGTTGCGAAAGCGGCACAAGCCGAGCCTCTCTGACCCATACGACAAGCTGATGCACCACCGCCGGCATCTGCGACGCATTCGCCGGCATCGGGAAGGGCAATCCATGCCCCACCGCAGTGGCAGCCAACGGAGTCTGCTCCGTGTTCTGAAGAATCGCAATCGCACGATGCGGCCGGCCACTCACAAACTCTGCACGTGCCTGTACAAGTGCGAGAAAGGCCATGGCAGGTAACTCCTGTGCGGTGGTCAAGTTTTCAAACATTGTACCACCTTGAGGTGAAGGAACGCGCTGCGGCTGCTGCAGTTCTCGGCCCCTGCTGCCTTGTCTGTCGGAAGGTTCACTAAACTCCGCGTAGGCGGAGAGCCATTGATGCACCAGTGCGGCTCTGTTACCGCGCAGGGCACGCGCACTGCTGTTCTCCAGGTGCGCGAGCCACCACTGCGGCTGCTGGTGCACCACACACAGGCGATGATGCACACTATCCAGCAGCTCCAGATCCCGGTACGGGGCACGTACGTGGGCCAACGACGCGTGCACCCACGGCGGTGGCGGTTGCTGCCTCGCTGAACCCCCATCCCCCACGGCGGGGGAAGCGGGCAAACGCAAGAAACGGTCAGCGCTCTCCTCAATATCGTGCAGGGCCTCTGCCTGCAACATTAGCTGGAACCAGTTCGTCGCATCAAACTGGCAGACCAATCGCTGCAGCGCCCGCGTGGTCCACCGTCGCACGTTGTGGTGTTCACCGCGGTGTATCGCGCGCATGGCAAAAAAAATCCCCTCGTCGACCGAGATGAGGGACGGCAGAAGCTGCCCTAGATCCCGCTGGTGACGCAGATGCGGCTCTTCTTCCCCAAGGCAGTCTACATCCCAGCGACCGAGACGCCAGAGGGTGGCTGCCAGTGCCGAGCGTAGCCGTAAAAGGTAATCCTCCGCCGCCTCTTCCGTTTCCTCGTTGACCGCGTGGTTGCCCCACTTCTCAGCACCAGCGGCAAGGAAGGATGTGCGAACCTGCCGCTTCAACGCCGCCGAAAGCATCTGAAGTGCAGAATCAGCCGCCCCCAGCTGCAGCAGCGCATTTGCCTTCTCCACCAACAGGCGGGCGCTGGAAAACCCGCTGCCATTGTACTGGATACGAACTCCTGCAGAGACGTGCGCCGACGTCATGGCGTTCTCAATGCGATCGAGTAGAAGCAGCACCGCGGGCCAATTTTCGCAGTTCTTTTCACGCTCAATGAGTCGCACCGGATGTTGCAGAAAAAATGCCTCCTCCCAGGGTGACATGGACGCATCCTCGGCCCCACCGTTGTCAATGGTCCGCATCACAGTGGCGGCCCCAACTAGAGCAGCGGCATCCTTTTCTCCCCCACCGCCCATGCCACCACAACTGCCGCTGTTGGCAGCAACAACTGTCCCGGCGTTGTCATTCAGGCCACGGAAGCGCAACGTGGTCTCCACATCGACAAGAACGGCGTAGACGGCTGCGCGGTACGTGGCGAGTCGCTCTGTCATGGCAGCCTCCGCCGCATCCCCGCGGAGTCTCCGCCTAGGACCCTCTGCCGACGCATCTCCGCGCGAAGAGGGCTGTTGCTTGGCAGGAAACAAGACAGAGCACTTGGGCTGGCCAACAACCGTCATTGCGGCGGAGGGGATGCCTTTGCGGCGCCCAAGCAGGGACTCCCCGCTGAGCTCCGTAAACAGCACGGCGAGGTGCGGTTCGTGGCAGGCCACCGCAGCGGACGCCAGGACAAGTGGGTTGACATCCGACAGCCAGTAGGACTCCCGCACGTCCGACACCTCCGGAAGGTCTCCGTAGTCGCTGCGCACAAAAAGTGGGAACGTCAGTACCGCAGCAACGGCCTCCAACTCCGACGGCGACGCCCGTGAAAACGGGAAGCTCTCAGAGCTTTCCGACCGCACCCCGTGACTCCGCACAACCGTCATCAACACCGAATGACAGACGTTTAGTGCCCGTAAAAATAGCCGAGCTGTATGCCGAAACCGAGACGCCTGTTGAAAGAGATGCGTCTCGAGCGCTCGCGACCACGCGGCACGCTGCGAACGTTGCGTCTCGCTCTCCCGCAGCAGCATTGCGTGTAGCAGCAGGATGGGCAGCAAACTCTCGATAAACCGCATCAGACTGCCACTTCTGCCGGCAACAGGGCGCAGCAGCAGGTGGCGGAGCAGCGTAGCGACGATAGAGAAGCGGTGGTGCAAGTTGTACTGCCGGATGAAGGCAACAAGGAAAAGACGCGGAAACTGTGACTCATCTTCGTGTACGGTCAAGGTGTCCCACACGACGTCATCCAGCAACGAGGCCACACTCAGCACTGCTTCTTCTGGAGGCATCGCATGCGTGCACGGCGGAACACCAACCAGACATCGATGAAATGGGAGAATGTCCGTCAGACAAATACTCGACGAAAGATGATCGCCTTCGACACCATCGTACTTGAGGCGTCTGGGAGCCGCTGCCGCTGGTATTTCCTGCTCCGCATCCTCGTTTTGCCTCGCATCACTTTGCATGAGTTCTAGGGCTCGTTTAATGAGATTGCCCTCATCACCGGCGCCACGGCGGCGATTACCGTTAGACGCCGCAGCAACAGCTCTGGTGGAGTTGCCCGCACCCTCCGAAACTCCATTCATCCCGTGCTCAGCGGCGCCACCACCGTCCTTGTCGGCGGTGGTGCCGCACAGCCAGCCACGCAGCGTGGTGGAAGCAACTTGGGCAACGTAGGCATCCGCGTCAAAGGCAAGACGGTACAACTGCTCCATTTGTTGACGATACATGCGATGAAGCATCTCGTCCAGCGGGCACTCCTGCAACATCGCCTGCATGGCGCCAACAGGGCACAAGAGGGCATCCACGTGGCCCTCGGCACCTGCCCCAATAAAGCACCAGCACAATGCACGCAACAAACGAAATGCGCTGACCTGCAGCTCCCGACTTGCTGCCTGTGACAGCTTAGCAGCCGTGGTCGCACCACCCGTCGTCGCGGTGGTGGCGGTGGCCTCGTCGTCGGCGCACACCAACGTCAACAAAATCTGAACCGCACGACAGCACACCTCATACACGGCTTGCACCGCTGCTGCGGAAGGTAACCCTCGCCGCAGCTGCTCCTCCTCCGCCTCTGCATCCTCGTGTAGGTGAGCTCGTATGAGGTGGATAAAGGCAGGACGGGCACGATCTACAGCGGCCGCGGCATCCGTGTAAAAGGACGAGGCGGGTGCACCAGAGACAAGCACGGTGCCTTTCAATAACGGTAATACATGTGTCACCCGCTGCATGGCTTCATGCAGGCTGAGCGTTGCGTCATCCCTCTTCTGCGGCTGGGCGCCTGTACCTTCTTTACCCCCGCCCGTTGCACCACGATGCCTGTGATGTTCCTCCTCCGCTTCCGCTTCCGCTTCCTGAGCTCCCAGCAGAGTGACACGCACTTCATGCGTCTTCCCCTCTTCCTTCGGCACAACCTCCTCCGCGGTGCAACTCGGATGTTTCAAGTGCCAGTCCTGCCGCTCCAGCGCGGTGTCTGCGCGGCAGATGGCGACCCACGTGGAGGCAACAACCCGCGACTCCTCCGCGAGAGCTAACATGACGGTTGAAATAAACACTTCATCCGCAGCAAAAAGCCGCGCTGAGAATGCGGGGGAGGTGGCTCTCACCGGCACCACCGCGCTTGTCCAGGCATAGAGCAGAACATTACACGTATGTGGACGGGCGTCGACACACGTCATGAGGAGATTTCCACAGAGGCGCAGCACCGTATGGAGAATGTGTGGTACGCGTTGAAGGAGCTCGCAGCTCCACCACCGCCTCACAATGTGTTCAAGTAGCAGTGCAAGCATCGCACGCCTCTGTCCGCGGTGGACTTCGCGCGTGAGGCCCAAGTAAAGTTGCTGCAGCAGCACGTACGCATGGTCCCCGCCCTCGCCGGCAAAGAAGCGATCGACGGCCGTCCTTGTACACAGTGGCGACAGATACGGATGGGTGTCAGCTTCCACCTTGTTGCCCGCAGCGATCACGGGCGGCGACGCCGGAGGCGCGGCGGCAGTGGCAACGATGTCGCAGAGGAGCGCCACCGCCTCCTGCAAGGGACGCACCCGTACCAGCGGCATCATGGTGCCCACGAGGCCCACAAACCGACACAAGATGGCATCCGCGTGGCGGTGAACGAGTGGTGCGTACTCCGTCGAGAAGGTTGACCGCAGCCACTCCAGTGCGAGACTGGCGGCCTCGGCCACCTCCCGCGACTCCTCCCCGCCCCTGTCACCGCCACTGCGGCGCCTCGCCAGTGCCGCAAAGACAAGCAGACGCGCCATAACATCTGGAAAGTAAGCCCGCACACATCTCACCAGCGACTCCCGCGTCCGTGCGGCGGTGGACATCGCGTCCCCAGCGTGAGTGTGGCACGCGGCCAGCCGCCAAAGCAGATCACTGGGGTGAAGAAAGACAGACGCCTCCTCCGCCTCACCGCGTCTTGAGCTGCACAGCAGCGCCAGGGGAACCAGGGTTGGCATGAGCTCCCGCCACATCTGCGGCAGCCCGGTGTAGCCAAAGCAGACGACAGGAAATGCCTCCATGGGATGGCCCAGGCACCAGAGCCAGTCAAACAGTAGTCGCTCACAGTGGTAGTGGCAGAGCTGCTGCGAGTTCATCCCTGTCCGACTTCCCGTCGCTCCAGCCGCGGCAAGACCCCGCTCGCGTGTCCCTGCGTAGTTCCCAATCAACTCAAGACACTCCAACAGCAGACCTTTATGGGCAAAGCCTTGCGTCGCCCAACACTCCAGCAGAGTGCAGATGATGTCTGCCTCAAGCGTCGGCGCCGCATGTGCCGCCTCACCAAGAGCACGCAAGCTCGTAGCAGCGTGCATGGGACTTATCGATGCAATGCCCTCCCGTGCACGATACAGCAGCTCCTGCAAAACAACGTACGTCTGAGAGGTAAAACGACGAAACAGCCACCGCACATGCAACGCCGTGTGCCGTCGGACGACGTATGGTGTCTTGATGGAAAGGAACGAGAAGAGGTACTTTCCAAGCTTCTCCGCCACCAGTGCATCGCAGCGAAACAAGACACCGTAAATACCGGACAACACCGCACACTGCAACTGCGGCGTCAACACCGGCATATCACTCCGTGAGACATCTGTCAATTGATCCACAAATGTCTCGAGCAGCCGCCCTTCTTCACGAAGTCTGTCGTCGCTGGCACCTCGTTCTCCCTTCTTCTCGCGTCTCTCTCGCGTGTGACACCCCCCAGTTGCCTGCCTACCCATTGGGACCTCATTCTCCTCCTCCTCCTCCTCCTCGTCATTCCCCATCTCAGCAACCAAGTGAGACGCGGCAGCGCGGTGCAGTGGCGCGTAGTGGCTGAAGCTCGCAAAAATGCTTTCCGCCAGACCGTATCGGTAACGTGCAAAGAGCGTCTCACGCAGCTGACGCGCCACCTGCCGCGCCTGTGCGTCGTCGTAGGACTCATGCAACACCTGCAACAGCCCCAGCAGGTCATCCACAACGGCCAGTGAAAAAGGAAGAAAAGGATTCAGTTTGAGAACGTCATGGGGGGCGGGGATCCCTGTCGTACGTGTGCTACTCGAGAGATGCTCACTGCCGTGGCTCAGCCCAGCCTTCGCGGCGGGGATTAGACCATCCTTCTCGAGAATATTGACGATGACGGCTGTGACACGCCCTGGATCCACTAGTGGATCGGTAGATGCCGCCAACACGCGTGTTCGGCGCACACACGTAAGAATGGCACTGAGCAAACTGCAGCTTAACTGCATGGTCGCATGAACGGCCGCCACAGCGTCTGCGGATGTCGCATTCGTTGGTGTCCATGCTGCAAGCTTCACAACACCCTCGTCCAGCGCACGACGACAGACGACGCCTGCAAATGACAGTACTACTTGCCTCGGCTCCCACAGCGCAAAGGATTGCGACAGCAGGACCATGCCCACATCATGGACAAGAATCAACAGTGCCCGCATCAGCACACGATCCCGCACAACAGAGCCTAGCAGTAGTCGGGTGGAAAGATGTCGACAGATCCACATCACGGCATAGTACAATTGCCCTTCGGGGGACAACCGGCGCAGTGTAGACACAGGATGATCAAACAACTGCGCATAGGGTGTGTCAGCCAGTACGCAGAGATCATCCTCCTCAGCCTCATTAGAGCCCTTCCCATTCCGTTGGCTGATACTACTATCAGTATTACGGTTCATGTCAGTATTTGGGCCCTCAACACCAACGTTTGGGCGTGAACGGGGCCCCAGCGGGAGTTGCCAAACACCAAGCCGAAAGAGGCGCAGTAGTAAATGCATCAGCTGCACGGTATGTAGACAGAGCGTCCGATGCGCCGTCGCCACCGCGTCCTCGTCCACTTCACGCCGCTGTGGCTGCTGCTGCTGCTGCAACGCGGATGCCCCGGTCAAATCTACAGTTGCGGTCCCAACCATTTTTGAGCGCTCCGCCATTTCCCCAATGGCACGCGCCACCTCCCCCGCGAGTACTTCCACAAAGCCTAGTGGTATATCGCCACGACGCAGTCGCCCCAAGAATAACTCCGAGTCATCCGCCTCCTCTCCTCCGCCGCTGTCGTTGTCGACGTCGCCGGCTTCCGCTCGCGCAGCCTCAATCCCCGTCAGTGATGCCTCTGTGGAAGAGACAAGAAACTCATGCAGCAGTAGCCAGTGTCCCTCTGCCGCCTCGCACACCGCAGTGGGCACGTGTTTTTCGGGTGCAATGAATGCTGCATCCATGGTGTGATGAGACCTTGCCAAAAGCCGTTTCATACGCTGCACCGAAGCCGCAGTCTTGTCACCGCCATGCCCACGAAGCGGCTTTGTGCCCTTGGCGGCCTCACTTGCAGCTCCCCCCGCCGTCAGTGAGTGCTGCCACCCCAATTCATTTTCGGTCACGGTGAGAGAGGCGGCAAGTACAAATTCCTCCACCCAGTGAAGGGCCTGCAGAAACGCGGCGGCGCACGTCGAAGCGGCGGCAGCAGTGTCAGTGTCATGACACCAGACGACGCCCTCGTCGTGCGGAAAGAAGCAAACGGCATGTGACACGCCGGATATCACAAACTCCACCCCTGTTGAAAGATGCATCGCCGTTAAGGGGAGCTCCATTGCATAATGCTCCTGCAAGACGGCGGTGGTGGCGGTGTGATTGGCACTGGGGCGGTCAGCGTGCCACAGGCGCTCCTTCTTCTTCTCCGCATTCTGCTGAGCAGTAAGGATCTCAGTCGAGGCTGCGCCGTAGTGGTGGTACAGGGACAAAAACTGCAGCATTGACATGAAGAGCGCCGTGGAGAGGCCGGTCTTGGCTCTATGCCCACCCGTCGCCGCCGCAATCAACGAGGCCATCATTGCAGGTGGCAAGCCTGTCGTCGTTTGCTGGGCGTTGGCGACTGTTGTTGATGCCGCTTTTGCTGCGCCGTACAAAACGGCACGAATTCTTGCGGTAATGGCGCTGAAGTGGGCCGCGGCCTGCAGCCTGGCACGCTCGTCGCCGCACACCAACAACGGCCATTGTCCTACAACACCGTGTCCCAGAAGCAAGGAAAGTAGACGGTACACCTGCTCCTTCGGCTGGCTCTCATCATCGCGCTGGGTGGCCACCGTCGGCATGTAGCGACGGACAAGCCAGCGAAAAACATCCCGCTGACACATGAACGACGCCCGCGGAGCGATGGCGAGAAGCACCGCGAGTAGTAGTGTTTCCAGCCTCGCACCGTAGTAGGGGAAAAGCGGAAGAACACCGTGTTCCACTAGTAGTGTACACTGTCGCTCACTGCACCCGAGTGTCGCTCCAGGCTGTGCAAGCAGATGCAGCATAAAAAGCGAGCCGTCCTTGACAAGTTCTTGCACCGCGGCGGCGCTAAGTGATCCACCTGCTGCTGCACTCACACGCAACAGGCAATCTGCATCCCGCTTCTCTGCCCCTGTGACGTTAGCGACACCATCTCTCTCTGACCTCGTCGCCGTTTCCCGAGTTGTTGCTTCGTCACGCATGCTGTCCAAGAAGAAAAGCGAGCGAAACAACTGTAGCAGTGTTTCCCCCGGTTGAAGCGGAGTGGGCCGTGTTTTGCATCTCAAGGCCTCTCCTATTCGCCTACTAGCCTCATCGTCCTCCTCGCGTGCTCGTTTCACGCCCTTCTGCTCTTGTTGCTGCCAAACACCAACCTTGAAGGAGGCATCATCGTTTACCGTCGGTGTTGTCGTCGTCGTCGTCGTCGTCGTCGAAGCAGGCACGACGCCAGACGATGATGAAGAGGGGAGGGTCACGTAGGCATCATGTGTGGCGCACGCAAGGTACAGCACGACGGCTCCAAAGTCAAAGAGCGGGGCGAGCGGTGGACATGGAAAGTGAAACAGCTCACGACGAGAAACGTGACTAAACTCACTGCGGACAACGGTAAAGAGTTGCAGCATGAAAGGCATCACAGTTTCATGTAACAGCGTTAGAGAAGACGGAGACACTTGAACGGGGTGGCCTGCCCGTGCTATGGTTTCCCTCGTGCCGCCACTTGGGTCTGTGTCTGTACTCTCAGCCGTTCCATCTTCTGGCACCGCCCCGCGCGCGTAGCGTACCCCACGCGGCCGGTGACGTGCAATGTCGGCTCGCACGCTCTGTCCCAGGACGGCGGAGAAGCAGACACAGATTTGTGTTGTCATGAGCGTCAGTGCCTCCATGCGCCAGCCGTCCCGGCGGGTTGTGGCGTAGTAAAGGTGGCAAAGCAGCCTCACCAGCTCCAAGGGTGTGGCCGAGGCCAACGGGTAGTCGTCCCGGGCCACGGAAACAAGAAGATTCACGGCCACAAGCAAATGCGTCTCAAGACGTAACGCACTCGTCGGACGCATATGCCGCTGCATCGTCAGTCGCACTAGCCGCTGCATCATGCACGGAATCGTCGCCGTATGTGCTGTGGGTGCCACCACCAACATCGTCGCCCCATCCTCGCACGGCGTGAAGGCGCTCAGCAGTTGCGGGGCACGGAGAAGTTGAACCAGCAGCGCCGCATACATTGTGCCCTGCTCCACAGGCGGATGATGAACCTCGTCCGCCACATTTTCCTTAACGCCACGACTCGTGTTGTTGTTGTTGTTGTTGTTGTTGCTGCTGCTGTTGCCAGCCTCAGAGTGAAGTGGCCTTGCAGCCGACGGAGAGGATGTGCTGCTTGTGGCTACGGCAGCAGTCACGGCGGAGGTGGTGGCGAGGGCATCTGTGCTTTGCGATTCATACACGGTCCTCTCTAGCAATTCCAGGAGTCGCAGGAACAGTTCCATGAGCACTGCCGGCTGCAAATTGGACAGGTAGCCGTGAAATAGGAAAAGGTGCAGTAGTAACTGGGCGTACTCGTGACCGCAGACGGTCACCAGCACCTCCGACTGCAGCACCTCCAACGCATGCCGGGTGAGAGAGAGGAGTGGCACAGCGTTCTTCCACAGCAACGGCAATGCGGTATGATTCGGCGCCCTCCTCCAAAGCTGTTGCGTTAAATGCGAACCCGCCAAGGCAGACATCCCAGTTCTATTTGCTGCCGTCGCGGACGTCATCCACGGCCCCTCAAGCGAGTTCTCAGCGGCAGACTCATCAGTATTGCCGCCTTGTCTCCCACGGTTTGCCGCCGCCGCTGCCATGTATGCTTCCTCACTGTCGCTGTTGCCGGACACCCCGAGTGCCGTGGACGTTGGCCCAAGCATCAGCGATGAGGACAGGTTGTGATGAAGCGTTTCTATGAGCGTTCGCCACGGCCGCACCACCTCTGTGCGAAGCTTCTTCGCCTTGTTGCTCCTAAATGCATCCAACTCCCCCTCCGCGACCAAAGCGGCGGAGAGGGCAAGCGATGACGCATCCAGCCGCCTTCGCGGCACAGCGGGCGCCCCACGCAGTGCTGAGCGACTTGTCACTGGCCGAAGCTTCCCTGCGGCGCTGCAGTACTGCATAAGTGCCGGGCGCACCACACTGTCCAGCACCACAGAAAGAATGTTGTTTATCACGTGTTGGCCAAATATGTTTTGGACGTGGGTGCCGTTCTGCTCTGCCACCGCGTCGAGAAACGCGCGGAGATCCATGAGGGACTTCTGCGCCTCCTTGGGGTTCGGAATTTGCACATCGTTGACGATTGCCGTCAGTCGTGCTTTAAGCGTCGCCTTGTCACCTACCGCGACGGAGGCAGACAAGGCAGAAGCGTCTGGAGCGTTAAAGAAGCCAAGCGGAGCCGACGACGGCGTGAATAATGCCGGTTTGTTCGCCCGTGATGTCATCCCCCTTCTCTGCACCTCGCCTCCTCCGTGCGTTCGCGTGGCCTCGCTGAGTGCCTCCCCTCCCTCTTTGTCTGCCGGTCTGTTGTGCCGTCTATGCCTCTGTGGGACCTCACTCCCTGACTTCCACTTATCCCCCTCTCTGAGGGTCTCCCTCCCTCCTTGTCACGTTCCCTCGTTCCCTCTTCCTCTCCCACACACACGCACACCCTTGCAATCCTCCCGCCGCTACTGCTGTGGTGTTACGGGGGGAATCCGCAAGACGTTGAAAAGCACGTGTGTGTGTGTGTGTGTGTGTGTGTATTGGACGTGCTTGCGTGACGGGGTGTGGGGGTGTGAGAGAAAACCCAAAAAAAAAGAATAAGAAGAGGATAAGGTTGCGGCAAGAGCGAGGGCAGGAGCAAACCAAAGAAGAAAAGAAGAAAGAAAAACAATGAAGCAAACACAAACAGAAAGTGAGAGAAGTAAAACCCTCATGCTTTCAACACACAGCAGCAGCAGCAGCAGCATAAAAACACGCAGTAGAACGGTCCAAAGAAGCGGGGATGTATAGAGCAAAATGGCACTCCCACCCCCCTTCTTCCTTCCCGTTCTCTCCCTCTCTCTCTCTCTCTCTCTCTGCCTGTCCGTCTCTGCTTCTCCTCTTGTCACGCCGCTTCAATGTGCCACGGCGGGCGGCAGAAGGCAAACTGAAGCCGTGAGAAGTCGGCCAGCCACACACACGCGCACGTACACGCATGCCACGCGTGTTTCTCACCCAAGAATGAAAAAGAGTGAGTACACCTTCTTCAGTGGGTCCCAGCTGCAGTGGTAGCGTCCCTCCTCCTCATCGCTGGCAGTCACCACAACGTCACTCCCGTACGAGGCCATCGCCTTTGCGGCTGTCGCTGCTGAGGAGGAGGTGCGTGGCAGCTTCGACGGGAATTTAACGGCAATCGTCACATACCCCTCACACGCCACGAGTAAATACACGACGCTGTCATCCGGCGGTCGTTCCATGTCCTGCTCCCGCGCCGAACGCCAGCGGTGCAGGGCCGAACTCCCGCCGCGGCCTGAGGAAAGAAAAACTCAAGCCACACCTTCGTCTGGAACAACTCCGGATCATTTTCCGTGCAGTAATTAAACTGTGGTCTGCCAAACGGGGCAAAGGCGGCGGTGCCGGGCGCCCCACTGCGACTGCCTCCCTGCGGGTCCTGCTGCTGTTGCAGCAGTTCACGTGTCGCCTTTTCCTGCTCCGCGCGTCGGCTTGCCTCTCTGCTGAGCTCCTCCTCCACCGCAAGCCGTTCCTCGCGACGTGCGTAGCGCTCCATGCGTTCCAGCTGTGTGCGGTGTGTCTTCCCCGCGATGTGCTTAAGGAAGTTGTTGTCGTCCGTGCAGCAGACATCACAGAGAGTGCAGGTGACGCGGCCCATGTGGTTACGTTTGTAGTACGGGTCACGGCGGGCCTGCACGGAGGGGTTGAGGGCCTTCACGGACGACATCTTTCCTTCCTTCCCTTACTCTCGCTGTACACCCCGCGCAGCCGCCCAATGGGGAAGCAGTAGAAGAAAGACGCGAGAGCGAAGCAGTGGCAATAACTTTCACGGCAGCAGGAGCACAGACAAAAAATAAAACACATACACACAAACAAAAACCCTCATCGCGGAGGCATGGCACGCAGAAATGGAACTGAGCAGAGAAGGATGCATGCAAAAACAAAAACAAAATGGTCGCTTCTTTTTCCTTCTTTCCCCCCCCCCCCCTCCTCCTCCTCCTTCTTCTTCGCATTTCCTTGAATTTCTTTCAGGCAGGGGTACCTCGCCACAAACATCCCCCACACAACACACACGCCCCTCCCTCTACACACATATATATATATATATATATATGTCTGTGTATGGGGGGGAGTGTGCGGAAATGCCACGGCACGCAGGAAGAAAAAAAAACAAAAGAACAACAACCAAAACACGAAAGAAAGAAAAAAAAACGCATTGAAGGAACAGAAGCAGCGTGGGGGGCGAGGGAAAAGGACAAAAAACAAACATTATATATATATATATATAATGGCGTAAACACGCAGGCGATCTGCACGCCCAATCCTCCCCATGGCGTCAGACAGCAGCGGGCATCCTCTGCGTCCCCCGCCCCCCACCACCAGACGCACACACACACGCATAAAGAAGAATACACGTCTACACGTGTATGCGTGAGTATAAAGGCATCGCTACGCGGGTGCCGCCTTCAGAGGCAAAAGCCACCGGCATGTCTTCAGAAACAACAAGCATCACGCAAAACAAAAACAAAAACACACAAAACATACACAGATACAGAAGAAGCTTCAGTTAATAATAATAATAATAATAATAAAGTTCATGTTTGCCATCTGCATCTCTTGAACATTTTTCACTTGCGTTATAGTCTACGTGTTAGTTCCCTCCGTCCGCACAATCCTCATTCCTCCTTCCGTGCCGCCCCCACAAGCCACCCACGTTGCCAGGCTCACCGTGTAGCACCCTACCGGTCACTTCGGCAGGCAACGCAGGAGCGACATGGAATACGGGCAAGAAAGATGCGAGGAGAAGCCACTGAGTCAGTGCGGACGCGCAACCAGAAAAACGTCACGCGCACTAGACGTCCCATCGCCACATTTCCGCACGAAACTCGTGCACAGAAAACAGAACAAAAAAACAAAACAAAGAGCGGGAGAAGAGGGGAAAAGAACCCCTCCAGTCGTACATGACGTGCAAGAGGCGCCCGTAAGCCTCCCCCTCCCCACACACACACACACACACACAGACACAGAACAGAAAGGCAATCAAAGTAGAAGAAAAAAAAATGCCGTGCCTTAGAAGAAAAAAAAAAAAAAACAGAACATTTACATTTAAACTCCTCCTCTTCTCATTCCTCTAAGGAAGAAGGGGTTGCTGCTACTGAGCGCTCCTCGCCCCGGTGCACCCCCACCTCCACCTCCACGTGAGTCCCGCTCCCACGGCGCACATTTCACCCCGGTTCTTTTCCCTCCTCGCCGTCTCTCACTCAATCATCCATTGGGCAACAATAAAAAAAAGCACACACATACATACGCCGGATCTACTTTTGTTTTGCTTTTAAGTATTATTATCATCATTCAAAACATCAGACCATTTTGATATATATATATTTTCTTCTTCTTCTTCCTCCCCCCCCCCTCCCCCGCACTCACCAC